GGTCATTTCACATTTATTAAGTGCCCGCAGGCATCAGTTGCCAACGACTGCTGTTCTCGAAATCGAACATGTGACATGATTCGTCAAAGTATATGGTACCATCGCTAATCATTCGCAGTAAAATTTTCAGACAATGCCATGGCGCATGCATTTTCCTAGCATATACCTTTTATGTGTTCCTGTCTAACAGGTCCGATCAGTGTTCAATTCATGGAACAAACTGTCTTTAATAGTTGATATTCAGACTGACTGACAGTAGTGCTTTGTAAAACATCGAAGTAACTGAGCGTACATTGACCGCTGGAAATTGCTTTCGACTTTCACTGAAATAGTTTTTTAAAAATTCGGAAGCTTTATAGTATTTTACGGCCAGGCATTCGACAGAGCATATATAATCTGTAAAATGTGATACCTTAAAGAAAACATTTTTCGTTCTTAGGAGAAATCATAGTTCCTCGGAGTATCGCGGTTTGCTTGACGAATAAGGCCATCGTTAGCGTGACAGCGTTAGTATCCTACCTGTAGTGTAGCTCAAATGCGGAATAAATGAGAGCGATAGGGTGAGAGAGAAAAGAACCAGAATGGAATTTGGGCTCCAACGTTCTAGACTGCTTTCTCACGCTAATGGCTGATGGCATGGAAACAAGCGATTCATCCATAGCATTGGAGAAACTTGCAAAGTTGATGCAATCAATACCTGTAGAAAATTTCACATACTGTACCACTGAACACCATTGCCTAATTATCCGGAAACATGCGGCAGATAATGAAATGGTGATGTGTCCACTGCGCGCACTGTACGTCTTTCTTCAAATTTGGTGCTCCTATAGAAGCCCATCAGAAGATAAGGCAATAACCGATGTTAAGTGGAAGTTGTCTTCGGTCAGAACTTAATGACCGATAACACTGGACGTCAACACAAACAGTACGGAAGCGATATTAAGTAGCTTTGAGATAATGTAAGTGCCCTGGGTCTGCAACAGTAGAAAGCTGCTGCCAAAAGTTTCAACCGTTATTGCTTATAGAAGGTTTTTTACACGAGTGTTACTTTGTGCATTCGATCATTTACACCAACGTTTTTCATTTTGGCCCAACTGTGAAAAACTCGGCCCCTCGGTGGGATTCGAATCCACGGCAGCAAAGGGAAGCTTTAGTACAACCAACTCTCTAGCCCCCACCAGGAGACGTGAGTTTAATCACATTTGGGCCACGTTATCCCCCAACCTACTTCAACGCCTAGAATCCACCACATCTGATACAGTAAGCTGACAGCCCAAGCAGGATTTTCCAGCTGACCCATCTAGAATTCACCAGATGGCTACCAGGCTGGCATAATTTTACAATGGAGCCGTATATTTAAATATACTTCCTCATCCACACAATGTGTTTTCAACTGATTTCACTATTATTCAGAACATGATAGTCCTAGGTCAATTATTGGTATCTTTTACATATTTCACCTATTTTGTTGACATCCTGCCTGTGGCATTCTGTCATATACCGCGACCGCGTTCATCTGTCATTAAGAAAGTAGCATGGTCAAGCAGGACAGGCTGCTTGCACAAACGTTATCTTCCTCTGCAAAACAGGGCGTATTTAACTTGCAGGTAAACTGGCTTGGATGCCTTTTTGCCTTTTTTCTTTTGCATAGTCGCTAAGACACAATGTGAGAACCAGGATTACATAATACATATTGCTGTCTACTGAATTACAAAATAGTAACATTACTTTACCAGCTACTGCAAAGATGCCATTTGTTCGGTCGCTGCACCCCCACACGGTAATCTTTCGTGAAGGCGAGTACTAGTGGGTTTTATTCCTCTAACTCCTTAAGAATAGGTTTGCCCTCCGTTACACTGGCATCTATACCAGTGGTTTTGTTCCCTCCATCCCCTAGGGTTCGGTTTAACTTTCGATAAGTTGCCATCATTACCGGCCACAGGTAAAACAGCGTTGCCTTTTGTGTACAAGACATCAATGCCGTCCGTTGAATCACTACACCTCCACCGCCACGGGAGTCTTTCGCAAAAGGCAACTATTAACGATTTTCTTCCCCAAAACCTCGTTAGCTTAAGGTTAGCTTTCGGTACGTGGCCATCCACAGCTTCCTGGTGTTCTCTGTCGGAGCTTTTCCAGCTCGATTGGAATACCCTTCTTTCTTCCTGGGGTTCGGTTCCGCTTTCGATTACTTGCCATCCGACCTGACGTCCGATTCGATAGCTTGGCTTCACCGTCAGTCGATGGGGATTATCGGCGTTGCTTGCATGTAATCGTTCATTTGCCGTATCTGGTATCCTGTCTCAGCTTCGTTGACCATGTCGCTCTCAGCGACCGCTTTTTCCCTGCCACAACAATCGCGGCCACCTTCACCTCGCGTACGGACAAGCGATATTAATTAGAGTTTAAAGAACATCAACAATCCGTTTAAGTAACCTTTCGGTCTAGACGGAATCATATTCTGTATTGGGCTTCGCCTCGATGGCGTATTTATGACGGCCTGTTTCAGGGTCCACAAAACTCCTGGAGTGGTTGGCAGTGTAATTCTAGTACCCCTCTGCAGGTAGGATACTGTATGCCTTGCATTTATCAGTCATTATTACGCAGTCAGGGGCTTGGATTGTTAGTAGGAGCTCTTTTTCCTGACAGTAGATAACACGGGCATTTCAATTGATCTCCTGATGCTGTCCACTCAGGGATACATCAACTTGAGTACGCCTCCTTTTAGCATTTGGAGGCCCCTCCGTAGTATTTCCAGAATATAAAAACATACCTTTTCTACACTAGTGTTGCCCACTGGCGTGGTTATTCTAACGAAACAATAAAAAAATTACTTCAGTGGTAATTGCTTCCGTTATTTTCACTTAGATGTTAACTATACGGACATTAGGTGGAGGTTTAACAGTTCATTTGCTTTAATTTACCTTCATTGGGCGATTCGTTCACGTACATTTTCTTCGCCGTACTGCTGCATTGCGTCGTGCGGTTGGCTCACCGTTTGCGCTTTGTTCCTATGGGGTTTGTCGCACCCTCTCTCCTTGGATTTTCATTGGCTATTCCAATGCCCCGATCCCTGACCTTAGCGTCATTATTGTATGTGTGTTATATTCGGTTTATTTTGATTCTACGGTGTTAAATATCATCTTTTTTAACGCTTCGGTTTACTTGCAAGTTTCTAAACGTAACTACTCTAGTTTATTCGAGTTTCTTATAACTCTTCACAAAAAATCCCTTTTCGCCTGCCCGCCTTCTCATCCATTTGTCCCACCCGTGTAACCCCTCCCTCCACCGGTCCCGTAAGATACGTTGACCTATATTGGGTTTTTTGGAATGGGTCTCATATTGCGTCGTTGCCGCTTCTGGACGAATCCTTGTAGAATCGCCAAAATTATGTGAAAGGCACACGAAGTGGACAGTAGGCGACTCATCATTTCATTCTCAGATTGGATGGTGCATTGTGGGAGCAGTTTCGACTGACCGAAGTATGTAGGATATTGAACTGCGGCAGAATTTTTTCAGTGTAGAAAACCTGTCATTTGAGGGATTTAACGGCTCCACTCACCGAGTTCCTTTAAGTCACCTGAGCATTGCCTTGTCTGGGCTGGTGGCAATTATCGAGTCTGTCCTATTACGTCATAGGCGTATTGTGTCCTACACAATCAGAAGTTTAGTATTATGGTATAAAATACATGTTAAATGCACAAGTCATGGGGAAGTTTGAATACGTCAAATTTTAAAATCAAAAATCCGTATAAAGGAAATGCAATGAAAAAGGAACCCTCTCAAGTGAGCTACATTTACATCTTCATCAAGCATGTGTGCCAGTCTGTCCAAAAACCCAGTCGGTATCATGAGATTGCCAAGTGAGGTATGAAGATGGACATGCCTAGGTGCGAGTGCAATCGAACTTATTCCTTTTAGTAGCAATGTCTTTTGTCATATTAAAGGAGGGTCTACAATTGCGTATCTCAAAAGCCGAAGAGTTATTTTGAGTCAAAGTTTGTAAGAATATCTTATGCTAACGCCCCCCCTCCCCTTAATGTGAGTGGGTTTGCGCTGACTTCCAGACAAATTGGAGTTACGGTGAGAGTTATGGTTAACAAAGGTTTAGAGTTAGTGCTACAGGTAGTGTACTGGTTAATGTTAGGACATACCTAAGGTTTGTAGTACGTTATCTATTAAGGCAAGGACATGCGTACTGGTGACCTCCCTCGAATTCAGCGCACGGCCACTTGTATTTTAGGGGGAGGGGTGCTCCTATTCACAGCACAAACTACATCAGTATCGGTCATTATCAGTATATTTCAGGGAAAGCAGGTGTGTACCTTTGAAATCCCTATTGGTTACATGCAGAAGATGTATATGGAGAAAATGGAAAGGAAGTAACATGAACGAAATATAAGGGGAATAGCAATACTGTACAGATGAACACAGAATGACATGCGTTAACAGAATTTAGAGGCACATGGAATCAGTTTGTTGATTAAATTAAGCAGGCAGTTGAAGGACACTCAAGATACAGGAATAAAAGTAAAAATTTTTAGTCCGCAGGCATCGTGGTGAATGCGAGCAGCGGTGAGCGCGCGGTTCAAAATTAATATATTGCATAAACATCTGCTACTTGAATGTTCGTAGTAGCATCGCCATAACTTTAAGTTGTCAACGTCCGCCATCAAGGTGGCTGAAGTCCGGCGTAATTGGGGTGCGTGCTCCAATGGTGATCTAGCCTCCGTTTAAAAGTTTCTACAGATCCCGACATAACAACATCCTCAGGCATACCATTCCAAACTGCAACCACTCTTTTGGAGAAGAGGAACTTTTGTGTGTCTAACCGGGCACCAGTCACACGTAGTTTGAGTGGATGGCCTCTCAGGTTAGTCGTAGTCGCCAACTCGAAGAAGTCTCCAAACGCGAGGCAGCAGCCCTGATTGCGCACGATGCGGAAAGTTTGTATCAGGTCCCCGAGTAGCTGTCTGTAACTCAAAGAAAGAGGTCAAGATTAGCTAATCGTGTTTCGTAGGGTAGTGACCACTGCCTAGATACAACTTTCGGTGTTCGCCGTTGAACTTTTTCGAGTATGCCGAGGTCTTTAGTGATTCAGGGTATCCATGCCTGGATAGAAAACTCCAGATGCGATCGGGCAAAGTTCGAAGGACCTTGGCGAAGCAGTCTTCATCAAAGGAGGAGAACGCCCGTTTGACGAGGTATAGAGTGGACATTGCCGACTTGGCCACCTTTGAACATTGCAGCGAAGGCTTAAGCGAGGTTGTGATCAATACGCCCAAGTCCTTCTGGGCGTCGACTTCTTGCAGTGGTTTGTCAGTCAGACGGTAGACCGTGCGGATAGGAGAACTGGTTGCGCCGACGCGTAGGAAGTTACAATTGTTTTCGTTGAACGGTAGAAGCCAGTCTCTCGACCATTGCTCGAGGTGGTCCAGATTTGTCTGCAATCGCGCCTCATCAACTTCGCTTCGTATGGTACTCCAGATCCTTATGTCATCGGCAAACACTGCGACATCGCAATTCAGTTCGTTTGCGCAGTCATTGACGTATACGAGGAACAGTGTTGGGCCAAGAACAGAGCTTTGGGAAACACCACTCCTAACGGTAACCTCGGCAGATTGGCATGAAAGAATCTTCATTGTGCGCTCGTGACAAAAAACGGTCATCAGAAAGACCCTCCCAAAAGTTACAGCATTCACCGTGAAGGAGCAGATTTGTGTTTTCAAACCGTGGCAGGTTTGTCTACAAAGAGCAGACACGCGGGATTAAACTCCAGTATTTTAAACGTCAAAAAATGGATCGAGGCTTATTATGATACCCATGCAGCCACTGAATATGGCAATGTTGACAGGCGCGCCTATAACATTGCTGGTAGCCAGGCCTTTACCTAAACATTCGTCAGTGCGGGAAAACGATTTGAAAAGTAACCAATGAACCAGAGTGCCATTGGAGAGGGTTCTGGTTGTCTATGTACGCCTGAACGAAGGTAGGGAGATAGAATGTGCCTGTCAAGAGGGGTCGGAGAGCGGGACAAACATTCGCGCAAGAGTCGTCAGTTAAACCCGTAATTGCACTTTGCAAAACGTGTCAGTTGTGTCAGAGATAAACATACATTAGCAACGACATGGAATCCGGTGGCGTAGTGCAGCGGCAAGATTGTGAAGGTACTGGTCGGAAGCAACTAACAGTACAAATGCACTAGGCCCGAAAAGCGGTACTGCTAATGCTTGAAAGAAGGATGCGAGAATTCACAAAAGACCTCAACCTTTCAACAGAAGAGTGTAGACGCCACTGGAATAGACCTGGTGTCCGAGAATCTTAATGGATAGGACTGTGAACGCACTCTTGGAGGGGTTTATAACAACACCAGATTGCTAAAGGCGGTCAAAGACCTTTGTAAGGTGCTTTATGTGTTTTTCGACTATGAAGCTGACTACTATGGTTGTTAATAAAGGTGTTGAAGCACTCTGTCTATGAACTTCTAGAAGATATGGGAGGGTGTGATGGATCCACATACGCCAAGGGGGGTTATGACGGCTGTATTCGAAACGACATCCAGGGCGATTAGAATTCGATGGAAGGCCTGGACCAGGTTTGTTTTCAAAAAACAGACTTGCCGAATAGGGTACCGTCAAAATCTTGTAGATGCGGGATAGAGTAGCGGTCCTGGATGGCGGTGTTGTCCAGGGTCCTGTAGTTACTGAAGGGCACCAGTCACCAGTAAAGGCCTTGGGAACTTTGTGCAGGGATGGGGTCCGCGGGCTTTCAGATTGACCGATGATGGCTGTCCAAGGCAAGTATTCGAAGCCTGCCTTGGTGATAGCAAAAAGTGCAGGCACCAGACAACCAGGTCGAGAAAACACAGGAATACCCGTGGAGCGGATATGATAAAAACGTCGTATGATGGAGTCTCGGAGATAATTTTGGGACGAGTGAGACCGTGGGTTGCGAAGTGGACGTTGGTTTTGGTGGTTTGGTCATGTTGACCGTCCTTGTGGCAGTCCATCAGAATATCAAAGGCGACAAGGAAATCGGCGCCGACCATAACCCAGAGAACGTCAGCGACGACAAAACCGATGCTCAGGGCGACTTAGCAGATACCGTCGGTGGGAATGGGTGAGGTGTTCAGATCAGATCAGATCAGATTTATTAAGGGAAAAGTAGGCGAACGCCTTTGAACTCCCTTTTGGTTACAATAACGTCATAAAAAACAATGTGTAAGGCAAGTGTGAAAAAAATTAGGTAAGTAATTACATACAACAAGCATTGGTCACTGGTATGAATTTGTCTGTGAATGCCTTCTGTGTCAAGATTGTACAATATCCAGTACGGCAATGAATGGACCAAGTAATATCAAAGCAAGCGCATATGTGGCGGTCAGGAGATAGCGAAAATTGTAAAACGCAATGTTGCTAAAATATAGGGAGTAGCAAGCTTTGTAACATAAAACGTTGGATAAGACGGGTGGCGCAGGGGGGGTTCGTTAGTTTCTGATGCTGTGGAGGTACATATCCCTGTACTGGTCAAGCTTTCTCTTAAATGAGTCCACGGATGAGGACATGACGACATCCACAGGTAGGGCGTTCCATGCCTTTACCACTCTGTGGCTGAAGAAGGACCTTCTTGCGTCCAGTCTCGCTCCTGTCACACGTAGTTTCAGAGGGTGTCCTCTCAAGCTAGTAGTGGTGGCCAGCTCAAAGAAGTCGCCGGATGCGAGGCAGCAGTCCTGACCCCGTAACATTCTAAACGTTTGAATTAAGTCGCCACGGAGTTGTCTGTAGTCCAGGGGAAAGAGGTTTAGATTTGAAAGTCTGGTTTCGTAAGGTAGGTTTTTATGACCTCTGACAAGCTTGGTTGCCCGTCGTTTGACTTTTTCGAGGGTGGTACGATCCTTAACAGTCCAGGGTCTCCAGGCCTGAATGGCAAATTCTAACTGTGGGCGCAAAAACATCCCGAAAACCTTGCGGAAGCACTCTTCATCGAACTTGGCAAATGCACGCTTGATGAGATATAAGCTGGATATTGCGGATTTTGCTGCTTTCAAGCAGTGGAATGATGGCTTTAGTGAAGATGTTATCCACACCCCTAGGTCTTTCTGAACGTCTACCAGTGGCAGCGGTGTGTGATTTAGATGGTACGTCTGCCGGTGCGCAGAACTGGTTCTGCCAATCCTCAGAATGTTGCATTTGGTAACATTAAATGGGAGGAGCCAGTGGCCTGACCATTTTTCGAGTCGGTCTAAGTTTGCCTGTAAATTTGCTTCATCGTCCTCGTTGCGGATGACTGTCCAAAGCTTTATATCGTCAGCAAACATGGCAATCTTGCAGTCCAATCCATGGATACAGTCATCAATATAGATGAGGAAGAGGATAGGGCCAAGAACGGAGCCCTGAGGTACTCCGCTCGTAACCGTCACCTCTGCCGAGTGCTGGCCACCAAGACGAACAGTCTGGGACCGACCGACCAAAAAGTTTTCAATCCACTTCAAAAGCTTGCCTCTTACCCCTATGCGGCTGAGCTTGTGTAGGAGACGTTGGTGTGTTACGCTGTCAAATGCCTTCTTGAAGTCTATGTAGGCCACATGCACAACGTTTCCTTCATCAATCGCTCGGGTCCACTGTTCAAGACAGTAGAGTAGATTGGTTAAGCAGGACCTCCCTCTGCGGAAACCGTGCTGTGCATCGCACAGAAGATGATTTTGCTCTAAAAACCGCATCAGTTCGCGTTTGATTATTCGCTCCATAACTTTGCAGCATATGGAGGTGAGGCTTACTGGTCGGTAGTTGTTTGCGGAAGCGCGACTGCCATTTTTATGAATCGGTGAAATCCACGCAGTCTTCCACTCAGGAGGCAGTCTGCCTGCATCAAGAGAGGCTTGGAAGAGGACGCTCAGAGGTTCTGCCAATTCTGTGGCTAATTCCTTCAACAACTTTGCCGGTATTTCGTCAGGACCGGGCGAAGTCCCTTCTTTTAGCTTCAGTAATCCCTATTGAACAACAGGTTTTGTGAGAACCACTGAGTCAATGGTCGGGACATTGTCCACATTACAGTGATCAGCGGGTACAGCGACTTCTCTCGTAAAGACCGACTGAAAGAACCTGGACAGATGTTCAGCCTTTTCGTCGTCCTTGTAAAGTTCAACGCCATCATCAGTTTTTAGCATAGGGATGGGATCCCTGTTGCGAGTACTTTGTCTTATGTAGTTGAAGAAAAGCTTTGGGTTTTCTCCTGCACAGTTTAAAAGGTAACCCTCGAAGTCTTGGCGGGCTTTGTAAACAAGGCACTTTACCCTATTCCGCTGAGCCTTATACCTATTTCTTGATTCAGTTGTCTTGTCCCTAAGATATGCTTTCCACAGCTTTTGCTTACGGTTTACTTCAACTTTTAGTGAACCTTTAAGCCATCGGGGCCTGCTGGTGATTTTCTTTTTCGACATAGGGCAGTATCTGGTGATAAGTTCATTCAGTATTGCCTTAAGTTCTAGCCAGTCCTTGAGGACACACCCCGTAAATGCTGCTTTCCAGTCTCTACGACGCATGTCGAGACGCATTTGGTTGAAGTCACCACGCCATATGTTGCGTCTAATCACGATGCTTTGATCGGGTACAGAGAAGAGAGAATACTCCCACTGTAGGACTACATGGTCGCTTTTTCCGAGAGGGGGTAGACAGTTTACAACATCAACGCTTTCCGGTGCCTTTGTCAATACAAGGTCTAGGCAGTTAGCTAGTTGTCTTTCACGTAGTCTGGTTGGGGATAAGACGTGTTGTGTGAGATTCGATCTTTGCACAGAATTTAGGAGGCGGCGATCAAAGTTAAATTCTGAGCCCGGGGCAGAAGTCAAATTCCAGTCGATATTCGGAGCGTTAAAGTCGCCCATAATCATGACATTGGGTCGGAGGGAAATCGCTTCTAATTCCTCTAGTAGACTACTGTCTGATTGTGGGTCGTTCCTCGGTGGGTGGTAGACCGTCAGGATCTCGAGAGGTTGTGACCCCGGCGTTTCGACGGTGAGCCAAATCGTTTCAGTTGTGCGCGCGAGCTGTCCCTCTTTTTCTGACGCAAAAAGGCCATATTTGACATACACGAGCACACCTCCACCTTGACGTCCCAACCTGTCCTTTCTGAACAAGTGATAACCAGATAAAGCGACTTCGCGATCGTCTACGCTCGCGGACAGCCACGTTTCAGTTATGGATATAACATCGAGAAAGGTTTGGTCAACGTAGATTTAAAGCTCATCTAATTTAGATAGCAGACTTTGCGCATTGGAATACAAGCATTTTAGCTTTTTTTCCTTTGGTAAGCCGGCTATGACGCTGCCTTTGCCAATTGTCTCGGCTGTGGGGACATACGCACGGGCCGTGTCCATATGAAACGGGACGGTCGCTCGATTATGCAGTTGTTGTAGATAACCAGGCCTTGTTCGCCATTCCTTTCCCTACTAATGCTCTCTAGTTTTTGTAGTTAAATAACAGTAATACTTGCTATTCAGTGTGCTCTTCCGTAAGTTGGAAACGTTTTGATCCTTCTTCTGTAACGAAAAACTTTTCTTGTCTGTAATGCCCCGCAGAGCACGTGCTAAAAGGCGAAAGCTTGCGGCCTCCCCACCGTCTCTGGGTATTAAATCGTGACTGAA